CGCCTCTGGAGCAAATTAGTGAGATTAAGCAATTTTTTTTCTATAGTTAATGAGATTAGGTTTCTTTTATTTGTATTTTTTAAGGTAATGAGATTAAGTCAGTTGCTACATTTTAAATTTCAATCTTTTTAAATGATTTTAAGTCTGCAATGCATCACCTAGTACGCTAGTACCACAGCGCCCTCTCCTGGAAAGTGGCCGTCAAACGATTACCTCTATTGTGTAGAGGTCATTGAGAGCCTATTTGATACTTTATATCGACCAAGAACATGAGATACTGTACTCATTTTATTTACAAAACAAACTCATTGAGGAAATAGGTTGAGGAGCAAATACACCAAAAAACATAAGCATTCAGGGGTTTAAATGTCAACTGAAAGTACTCTAACCTTTTTCTGTGGGAGACATGAAACTGTTTTCAAGCATCTTCATCTGTTAAAGAATTTCTTCTAAATCATTTTAAAACAGATTATTATTTTAAAGCTTGTTGGGGGGGCGGGGTGCACGAATTTAGATCTGTTTAACCAGAATTGTCCACATTATCAGTTAACATGGTAATATCTAATATCTGTAAATTATATTTTTTCTGAGACAAAACATAAATACAACAAAAGAAAAATGCAGTTTTCATTTAAAATTCCTAATAGGCCCAGTTCCTCCTAAAATTGCACATTTTTCTCTTGCATCTCCCTCTCCATGATGAACCTGGGCATCAAAATAAAAGACAGTAATATAAAGTCATGCAAAGAAGAGAAATAGCAGAGGCAAAGAAAAACATTAAGCCAAATGAATGAGGAAAATATTTCATTAAACCTGCTAACATTAAAGGAATAATAAAGGTCAGTTAACCCTTCTATTTCTATATTTTTCTAACTCGTTCCAATGCAGTTGTGTTATTTATCAAGACATAAGACAAAAGATATGAAAAAAAATACACAAGTAAGTAACTTAGTACGCTTTATTTTTATACTGTACCTTTCACCTGTAAAAATCACAAAGCACTTCACTTAGTGCAATTACAAAAGAAACAAATAAAGGATTCAAGTAGATCAAAGACTAAGAGACAGAGACAGGATGTTCCGCAATCTGGGGTCTACTGTCTGGAAAGGATAGATCACCTTGACTTTTTAATTAGGCTTTTCCATCTTAAATTTTGGAGGTAACTAATAAATCAAGGGTCATTTTGTGTGATATGTACTGTATAGTGTTTAGAACAACAATAAAGAAAAAGTCAAATCAAATCCAGTGAAATTAAAAATAAAAACAATAATTGATTCTGGGTTTTTTTCTCCAATCCTGAAATGAAGTATGAAGTATCATTACTATAAAAATATTGCCTTTAATAATTGGTTAATTGAATAATTTGGCTTTGTTTGAATAAAAAGTGGCTCTCTAACTCTCAAACAGATCTAACTATAATTTTTTTCTTATCTCTTCAGGACCTATTTTATTTGAGTTTTGCAAAGAAGACAAAGCAGGTAATCACAATAAACATTTTTTAACTTCTAGATCTGATATTTAGGCTTGTTTTGTCTTTAAACTCTGCTATGAGGAAATTTCCCACCTTCCTCAGCTTTAGAATCTTCAGCATTATATTCAGCATCACTGCATCTGCAACCCATTTATTCAGTTTCTGAGATAAAATACATCTAAGGAACTTAAACCTAAAACCTACTCAGCTGATCAAGACAGTGTCTTCACTAAACATGCCTTTATGTAATGTTCTGTATTTACAAAATAATAAAAGACATGAACTCCTCAGCAAGGATATTTCACTGTAGACTGTACCCTAAAGCTGAAGCATTAAAGTAGAATTCCGGTTAAATGGCAATAAAAATACAACCACTGATCCATGATGTCCAAATGAAAGGACATACAATTAATTTAATTTGCCTACCAACATAAGAAAATACCTCAAAGGTTTAACAGATATATAAATCCTTATTTTTTCTCAATTGACACCAGTGTTTAGAGGTTTTTATTGTTGTTGTTGTTCTTTTCTTTCTTTTTTTTTCATTTCTGGTCTTCTAAAATTCTATAGAAAAACTAACAAGTTATATCTAATACTTTAGATATCTGGCCAAATGTGTTTTCATTCACTTACACCAAAGAGCCAGCAGATGGCAGTGTATACATGGAGGAAGAACTCCAATGAAGTTGTATAGCTGTATAACTGTAACAGTTTTGGAAATCTCAGCACCCACACATGGAAGATAACAGCTTTTTAATGGCTGTTCCCCTAAAATGATCAATATTTGTAAAATTATAGCTTTACTATAAGCCCATGTAAATGTAACCATGGAAACAATTAATATCTGTTTGACCTTAACACTTAAAAAAACAATAATTACATTTTAGAATGTAGTCACTGTCTGTTTATACGGATGTTCCCAAACTCTACAGATAATCTTTAAACTGTGTTAGAGAAAGAATAATGCAACTTTTAAGAATAAAAAAATGCAGTTTGGGAATGATTACTGTGGCTGGAATTGAAACTAAAAATTGCATTATTTTTAAGGCTCAAATCCTGTAAAGTTATTTGCTTCACAGTAAATTAAATAATTAGTCTAATAGATATATATATTTTTTGTCCTGTCAGAAATTTGTTCCTGGTACCTTTGTATCAATCTTAACCATAGTAAAATATTAAAGAATAACCTGAAAATCTGTTTGACACTGTAATGTGTATTTCTTTATTATATAAAGATTCCCAGACACAACAAGAACACTCATCCATGATATCCTACTGGACAAGAACAGAAAAGTTTAACCTTATGAAGCCTCAGTAAAGAAAAGTTTCAGTAATATACCGTAGTAATAAGTGTTTATTGTGGTCTTGTTTGTTTTGTTCATCTTACTACATCATCTAAAATCAGATGTGATAACAAATGATCTTCCCAGTAGACCAATTCATAATTTAACCTCTTAATCCTCAAAATATTTACATAGACCATGAACAAAAATGTTTTATCTTAATTAATTCAAGTTCCTCTCTTCTCACTGTTTCGTCATTTCATCAACAGAACTAAGATCTCTTCCCAAAAACCACACGGGGTCCTTTCCTGGAGCTACGTGGTTCTGTAGAGATGATCCAGATGGCCGGTGCTTTCATGAAGTCCCTGTCCACCATTTTGTTCTCCTCTGCCAGAGCCATTGCCTCCAGTTCAGGCGAGGTTTCTGGTGACCAGTCTGCCATAAACTTATCTTTGGCCTCACAATAGTTCACCACCACTTCCTCAGGCTGCTCTCCAAGCAACCAGTCTAGAAAAAAACATGAGTAATATAAGGACAGATACCATATGTAAACATTCTGTCATTAAATTGAAAAAAGAAAATGAAATCACAAACCTGCAAAATCATGGATGAGGTCCTTGATGAGATGGCCAATGATGGCATAAAGAACAGACACCACAATGGAGACGGCAATCAGAAGGTATATGACATAGTTGGGGAGATGGACTGCATCGCGAGAAGGAGGTATGTAAGACTCGTAAAGCACTGTGCCATCTTCATCCCTGTAGCGAATGTTTAGCCTCTCAGGCGGTACATCCATTGTAGGTGGTACATCCATTGTCGTGTTGCTGCCCGCTTTCAGTCTCTGATGTCACTTAAGATCTCAAAACCATCGTTGCATGAAAGATCCTGATAGGGTTAATGATGATAGCCCCTTATTGTCCTAGAAATACACCAACACAAGACACAAGTTGCTTTTCTGCAGACGGAGGAGAGTAAGGAGAAGAGTGGAGACAGTCACAGAATGTCAGGACATCTCTGTCTTCTGCTTTCATTTTCTGGCTTCAAATACATAACATGATGTGTCTGAAGTTTACACATACAAATGAAGGGATGCAGTTTTATTGTGGGTGGTGATAAGTAAAATCACCACACAGCTGGATAAAGCGTGACTCTTCCTTTTCTGGAAGAACCGTTTGTTCTCCCCGTCTGAAGTTATAAACAACATAACATTCCTAACAGGCCAAATGCCTGTAACTTAATACAAATATAATGATGACATTTGCATTTTTTCTAACAGATCCAGCATGACGGTTAAGCGGACAGTGATTCACATCAAAACAGATCGAGAATAAAAGACATTTATACCTTTGCACTACCAAAAAAAGTGGGAAATGTTTACCTGTTAAAACAGACGAGCTGTCAGGCTTTCAGAAAAGCTCGACGAAAGACAAATTACTTAAAAATTGCATGAATATTCTCACCTCATAATGTTCTATATTGCGGTTTGGTGTTACAAACTCTCTGCATGTCTGTCCATTGAAGTGTCACGCATAACAACAGATAATCTGCAGAGGCTTGAGGCAGTTCGCTCTACGTCAGCAGAACGTTTGATATGGAGCAAATGAATCTGTCTGTCTGTCCTCTAGTTGAATTTCCTTTCAGTGGTATGACAATTTTTACATAGTAACAAATAACACCAGTATATTAGCTATGTGTAAATCTCTAAATCTCTAAGACATTTATGGACTTGAAGGTAACTTCAGTTACATTTTTAACTAATGTGAATCAATTATGGAAGGGTGTCGTTCATCTGGAGCGAAAAATATGTAACATAAATTATATACAGGAATCCCTGGACTATAGAAATAAGGGCAACAGAATTGACACAGCTATCTAAGTAGCCTGTTAGCGAAATAAATACTTTAGTTAAACTTTGTACTTTAAAAGTATTATGAAGGGATTTTATTTCCCCGCTCTGCATCACTGTATCAGATGTATGATGTACATTAGGCAAAAATGTAACCAAGTCAGCTACCTAGCAAGTTTGTTTTAAATATTAGAAGCTCAACTTTAGGAATTTATGAAAATATTGTAAAAAGACGTTGTCTGCTTGGACTGACCGATATGTAACATTGTCAGTACAGTAATCCCTGCCCTTTATAAATGAGGTCATCGCGCCTGACACAAGCAGGTATTAGAGCAAGATAAGATGGATTAATTAAAGCAGACAAGACACAACAACTCATTTGTATTATTAGGTTGTTTATTGGGACAGTGCTTAGCCCACATGAACAAGGAGAGTGATCACACTGGTTTTCAGTAACAGATGAGAACAATGTGTGATGTCAGAAAAACATTTTAAATCACTGTTGTCCTTCAGGTTTTTACAGTTTTTAAACAATTTCTGATTAGAATTATATATTTTTTCATATATGTATACATGAAAGAAATGTATTTCACATGATAACACATATTTTTCATTCTTTATATATTTTAATATATATAACATCATAACAAAACAGAGTTGAGTTATTGGATATTGGTTTCATTTATCTATCTACTTAATAGTTGCAATAAGAGAGCATTTTTTGGTAAAAATGAGCACAAGCTACAACTAAACTTGCTTTTGCATATCTACTGCAAAGCAAATACTCCAAACACACACGACATGTGATAAAAACTGATCTGAGCTGCTGCTGAGATGAAGCCAGGAAAACTTAAAGAGCAGTGACACAAGGGGCAATGGGACAGGCGAAGGTCACACTATGAGTGGACATCCTTTTTTCTCCGGGGTAAGATGAAGTGATGGCACTTCTCCGCGGAGGAGGGGGAGATGGACGACGGCAGCCCCCGTCTCCCTGGTGGAAACCCGGCAGAAGCATCTCTCTTTCTTTCTCCATCCTCAGCTCATCTCTGGACTCCATGTGGTAACTGGAAACGCTGAGTTTTCGCTCATCCTCTAATTCTGCTTCCTCTCCCTCTGGATCCTCCTCCACTGGTTTGGGGCCAAAGATCCAGTCTGTAAATAAAAAGCAACATGAAGTTGAAGTAAAATAAAATGTTTGTGGTGCGGGGTATGCCCTTGCATTTCAAGGGGCACTTCAGTGATTTTAAAACTTGCTTTCTTGCAATTAGTCTGTAAAAGCTTGGTCAGATTATCCAGCTGATATCTACATATTTACTGCTTTTCCTTTAAGCACAATTTTTTACTCATTAGCAAAATTCAAAAGTGCCTCTTTAAGGTCTCATCATAACATAATTGTTATGTTGTGGCATTCATCTGAAAGGACAATCACATGGTGAGGGATGGATTTCAACTGTACACAAACCAGACGGCGAATGTGACTGAAACTTGAAGAACACGTCAACACTGAAGCTCGGGGACAGAAATGACTCAACCACAAACACTATGTGAGAGTGGAGATGGTGACAGATAACTGAAGGGGTAAGACATCAGTTCAGGACGTTCTCTCTGTTGATTACCTGCCAGGTCATGCATGAGGTCATTAATGAGGTGACCCACTATGGCATAAGTGGCTACTACGATCAGCACCACCCCTACTAGGACGTAGACTACACTGCGTGGCAAGGTTATTGCATCTCTCGCAGGGGGGATGTAGTCCACAAAGTAGGCATCCTCCTTCTCTTTCTGTCTGGAGAACTGGAGGAGGTGTCGGTGCTTGATTACCAGCTGGGTGAGGTTCAAAAGTAGACCTCGTCTTGAGTTCAGGGGGATATAAGGTAGTCTGTACATATTTGATACCCTGTCAGCTGAAACAAAGCAGTGAGGTGTTAAGGTTGTTAATTTCAGTGATGATGAGTTTCTTCACCGTACTGTAAATATTCAAAAACAAGGGAGGTGGATGTGTAGACATTACTAAAGTTCATTATTTACAGTCGGGGCAAATAAATGATCAGGAAGTGGAAATGGTAGTGTTTTTTTGAATTTAAAGGGTTTAGAGTTTTCTGTAAATAAGCCTAGTTTACTTGACAACTCCTCCTGTAGAAAACTTATCATACATCTGTCAGTTTTTCTACTCTTTTGCTGAGACATTAGACTTCCTCCTCTTACTCTCTTACAAAGGGTTACTTCCAGGTGCCCGAAGTGCATGAAACTCTGGAGTAGAGGAATGTAGGACAGACAGAGTTAATAGGATTGAGTGAGTCATAGAGCAATATCAGCTTTCCATCTGCAGGGATTAAAGATATGTTTGAGGAAAGGTAGATAGTAATGCGGTAAAGAGGCTTATGGTCACCAATGACCAGGCTGCATGCAGAAACATTTACAGTGCCTTAGTCAAAATAAGTTTTAACACCTATTTAACTTTTGAAAATTTTTTCCCCACACTAAAACAACACATTTACATATATCTCACTGGTGTTGTGCGGCTTTACAAAGCTGTTTCAAATCGAAATCTGAAAAAAGAAAACAGTTGAAAGCCAGAATGTGGAAGAAGACATTCTGTGAGGTGGAGAACTAACATTAAAACATGGTGGTTGGTGTATGGTGATGGTGAGGGATAGCTTCTCTATGTTGCAGGGAAGCTGGTTAGTGTTAATGGAAAGATGGATGAGCCGATACAGTGGGCAATTCTGGAAGAAAATCTTTTGGAGGCAGCTAAAGATTTTGGATTGGCGTGGAGGTTCACCTTTTAGCAGGGCAACCCTGAACTAACAGTGGAGATCGAAGCACATCCCAGTTGTTAGGACTTTCCAGACAAAGTTATATGAAGTCATACAATATATCTTATTTAGGTAAGAAGAGTGATCAAACATATTTGTACCTTGAGGTACCAAGTTGGTCAGTGTACTTCAGAAGACTTGCAGTCATGCATAATTTTCCTCTTACTTAACAATTATTGACTATTTTATATTTGTGAAGGCTACTGCATAAAATATAAAACCAATTGGGATTTAAATTTAAGAAGTTGTGGATAAATCTGTTTAAAAAAATCAGAGGAAACATCAAATTTCACAAGAGGTTAAATACATGTTTTTTTAAATATCACAGAAGATCTAGCTCTAGTATTCTATAAATAAGTCAAATAGATCAAAATCACACAGTTTCTTACTTGTTTTTCATTAAGCCACAATCACAGTGATGAGTTTTTTTCTGCAACTTACCAAAATATTATATAAAGAGCAGAAAATGTCTCTATGCAGTCCACAGTGAAGATTATATGATGAGAAAAAGAGTTGGATGAACTTACCAGTGGTCAGGAAAAAGGATCGCTCCTCATCTTTATATTTAGATTTTTGGATAAAATAGGTTCCAGACAAGCATAATCTCTATAGTGGCAACTCTGGAAACAAACAGAAGAAACAGCAAAAATTCAGGTTAGGTAAACAAAACAGTTACCGGGGAGAAACTCTGAACATGTCTCATTTTTCAATAACCGCGATAAAATGCTTCTATTCGTTTTGTGCTCACACATCTCTGTGCAGCATCGTTATGAAGAAGGTGATGTTGCCTCTGGTTTGGACTCTCCTTCTTTTGCCGACTGCATATTCCTGTGAAACTCACGACTGAGAAATTGCCACTCCATAATAGTGATGGCTATGTTTGCAAAAACAATGAACCAAGAAACCGGGTGCACGCCCCAGTAGAAGTCTTCTTCCATGAGCAGAGGCGAGGAGACAGTGAGAATGTCAGAGGGAACCAGCTGCCTATAGGATATTAAAAGAGCTACACTGTGTGTGTCTTAATAAGGGGTTCCTGAGTAATCCTTGACAGGATTTGCTTGGCATAAACACAAAGTCAACAGCTCTTCATTGAGTCAGCAAATGACAAAACAAAGAGGTCCGTTTTGGGCCAGCTTAGCAAACTATTGCCAACAAGAAGAAGGCATTAGGAAGAAGATGCGGGAAGCAGATTTAGTGGTATTTTGAAAAAGAGATTACCTGTAACTACAACTCCTGGATCAGTTACTTCCCAGGTAAATGGAAAGCAGAAATCAAAGAAAAAGCTTCTCCACAGAAAGCGCTACAAGCATAACTGCCATTACAGACTATTCCTCAGCAGCCAGTCACTCAGGTAGATCCATGCTGTGGCCCCTTAGGCTGGGGTGACAATCCTCTTGGGTTTGTCCTCTGTCTCTGCCATCCACTTTATGTAAGAGTCGCCCAGGAGGAAGGCCCAGTAGACGACGGTCAGAGATGTGTTTACAGTAATGATGCCGATGATCAGAGGGTTTATCATAGTGGCAGACTGGGAAAAAGATGAAAAAAAAAAAAAAAAAACTGTGTCACATCAAATGAAAAAGAGTGTGTCTGGTGTGTGGTCGAAGAGTTGACTGTTTAATCGCCTCGCCGCCTGCTTCTTCTCTCTTCCTGAACTCCCCTCCCCTCTATACTCTCTCTAAGTTTCTGTTGCAACAGCAGCCTAATCCTCTTCAGCAGCTTTGTTGCGGAAGATAAGGTTGCATTAAATTCACCATGTGGTATGAATACTGCTTATCTGTATGAATGTGTTATATAAAGCAAATGCTTTTTTTTTCTTATAGTGAGCCTCTGAATTTGGTAGAAGCTAATATTTACTGAAGAAACAATGGGGGGAAAATATAGTAATGTGCTTTAGATTATAATATGACTGTCAGAAAGGAGTAATCTTGGCTTTGGACTTCATGTTCTCCGTCTGATTTAATCCACAATTTAATCAAGACTGGAAACATCAGACGGAGGAGTTCTTAACAGTACACCAAGCAGGACAGATGGATCCTTAAATGAACCTAGAGGTAACACAGCATGTGAAGCTCGATCTCTAGCAATATGTGCACCTTCAATCTCTGACAGCTGTGCTGTATGAGAAAGCAAACAGAAGAAATAGGGCTTAGCATATATATAAAAACACAGAATTTAGGCAGACAGAGAAAGTTTGTTTTAAAATAAAAAGTTTTATCGACTGTACTGCAGCTCGTAAGCTGGGACCCTCTTACTGGAATCTCTGTAGAGATGGAAACCCAGGTTAGTGACCACAAAAGTCAGACGGTGAACGATAACGAGCATGTGAGTCACTAACCTGGTTCGTAAACTCTGTGCGTGCTCAGAGGAAGGAGTAGAAACCAGTGGAATGATTTCTACACAGCATGCGGTGGGAGCCGCCCAGAGAGTTCCCTGTGTGAGGCAGAGCAGACAGATGAGCGGAAGCCAGCAAACGCAGGAGAGCAGATGAATCTGAAGGGAGAACCCAGACCAGGTGATGAACCAGAAGCAGATGTCCAGACCAGTAGATCAGAGAGATGAAGAGGTACTGAAGGGGAATCCAAGCAGGGGTCAGGGGACAGATCCAAGGTCAATAACAGACTGAATCCAAACAGCAGTCCAAAAACCAGAACAGGCAGAAACAGACTGGAACTGGGGCAAACCAATCTCAAGAGTCCAGAGACAGAAACAGGTCAGGATCAGACAGTTCAAACACTACAGGGTACGTTAGAGACCTCTCACACTCGGCCCAAATAATCTGGTACTGATGGCTGGAAACAGGCAGCTTAAATAGGAACTGGAACAGGTGGATCAGATGAGAGGAACGTAAACTGGCCGGAGTTAAGCAAGTGGAAGAAATGAACTAATAATCCAGTCATCAGTGCCAAGATCATGACAGCAACTCTCACTTAACATGTAGTTCGGGCAACGCACAATAATAACTCCTAAGTGGACCTGGAAATTATTACCTTTTACCAAATGCTATCTTATCATTGTTTTTTGTTTGTTTAGTTGGAAATTAAATATATTCTGGTCTTTAAATGTGGCTGTAGTTATCAGCTGGAATATTTGCTTTTATATTTTTCATGTCACCATCTTGGTTATAAACTCAGGAGGTCTGTGTAGTTGACAGATACATAGACTGCTGCATTCTTTTCAAAGGACCATTACAGTGACAAATACACTAACAAGGACGTTTCAAGGGAGGACACCAGAAAACCATGTTTCTTTCTGTTTTCTCAACAGAACATCAGATCTCTGATAAACCTTCACATCTCATATTGTAAAAAAAAAAAAATGTCCCACTTGCCCTAGTGGCCCTTTTCCGACCTTGGATCCATTAAAATAAAAACAAGACACCTTTTGTTTAAAATAATTGCTTTCTTCACAAAAGGTAAGGCTGTTGTAAACAGTCTATGTTTGAGGTACTTATAGAGGCTACCTAGAACAACATATGTTTTCTCATTCATTATGTAGTGCTGTAATTACTTTCATATTAGTTAGCTTACTATGATGTTTCCTCTGGGTTTTTCCTTTCTTTTATTTCTTTTATTTAACCTTTATTTAACTTGCGTCCACTGGCTTTGCGAAAGCCTAGAAAAGGAGATGTAAACTCAAGTTTTATTAACATTTGGAACATGTGTCATATTTGTACAAATAAAAAGTAGACCAATTACTTTATTCTTATAGTTACAGAACATAGAACATACAGAACATCGGGCATATGGAGCCAAGAAGAGAACCAAATATATCTCCTGCACCATTTGTGACATTCAAAAAAATGCATCAGCTATGTCTAGAAAATTATCACTTATTTCTTCTTTATATATACTTTTTATTAAATGTTCTATTAACAAACGAAAGTCTAGCTAATTTCTGTATACATTTTGGTTGAACTGAGCTGCAGTGATTATTTAATGAGACTGCACGGTGACACAGTTTGTAGCCCTGTTGACTTGCAGCAAGAAGGTCCTGGGTTGCATTCCTGCCCTAGAGTGTTTTTGCAGGGAGCTTGCATGTTCTCCATGTGCATGAGTGTGTACTCCAGCTTCCTCTCACAGTCCGAACCTATTATTGCAATGTTAATTGATATCTCCAAATTGGCCTTGGGTGTGAATGTGTGTAAATGGTTGTATGTCTGTGTGTCAGCCTGCAATTGACTATAGACCTGTCCAGGGTGTACCATGCCTTTCCCCTCCATGCAGCTGGAAAATGGGCACCAGCCCCACTGTAGCCCTGAAAGATAAATGACAGAACATGGAGGATGGATGGATCATTTCAAAAGGCTGAGGGTTAAATAGCGGCTCGCCCATAGGGGGCAGCATTTCCACACTTTATATTACATGGAGTTGCTAATGTGTTCTTTGGGAAATAACATTTTTAAATAGGATTTTTTAGAAGAAGAAAAAAAATCATTATTTAACACAGCAAAAGTAATAGCTTTATTATTGACTAAACAGAAAATTGTGGGGCATGTTGAAGAGTGTGGCACACTGAGGACGAGACTTGAATATCAATGGGGCTTTATATTAGATCTAAAGATGATAAACAAACCTAGGGATCTATTCTAATTAATGAACCAAAGCTGTAATAAACTACTGGCTGAGAAAGTATTGCTGCCATTTGATTACTCTGACCGAACCTGCAAGAGGCAGCAGTGTGCTTTCTGATGGGCTCCAGAGGAAGGGTAGACCTCAGCTGAACTTTGAAACTTATAACCTTATAGCCTGTGTGTTGGAGCGCCATCATTGCTTCATCACAGATCATAAGGTAAGGAGTGACACTCCTTTAAAGCTTCTCTTTCCTGTCTGCCGCTCTGGAGTGAACCCTGGGCCTTTGACATGACTCTTTACACTGCCAGTAAGGACCTTTAGGAAGTTCTACTATTTGAACAGGTTTTGTTTTATCTAAAGACCTCAGAAGCTTGAGGAAAACGGTTACAGAGATGAGGCCGCCGGTGGAGGTTAGCGTGTTTCTGCTCTCTTTGTTGGGACCTGGAGTTTTATTCACAATGAATAACATCCCTGCACTTCAGGAGTAAGTTCACCATCATTTCTTTTGCATTCAGTGTCACCTTGTTCATTTGTTTTAGACTCAATCATAGGGAGTCATAGGAACCACTTTAATGAGGCAGATGGAAAAGGGACATTGCTAAATGCTAAAGTCACAAAGGTTCCCAGGGTGCTATAGCTGAACTTATTAATAAAAGGTTAAGTGGAAGGAAGAAAGTTACAAGCAACAGAAATATACAATGTTATTCCTGTAGATCCCTTTGATAATCACTACACTGATGTATCCAGGGAATGATACACAGGTAGGGCAAAATATCAAATCCTATCTAAGGAAACTGGTTGTTTCAAACATTTTCACACACAGTTGAATGAGAGGAAAACATAACTTTATAGGTTCATCAATCACACTCCATTCAGACTGAGGCTATGTGTGTCAGAAGCCTACATGCATAGACAACTCCTACACATGGGCAACAAACATCTTACGTTAAAGAAGCCCAAACTCAAAAGTACTGAGGGCCGAGAAAATGAACATACTGTACTTCTCAGAAGCCTGATATCTCTGTTTAGAATATAAATGATTTCTAAATTGAGTTTATGTTATATTCTGATTCGAATATATATTCAAATATATATTCACAAATTAAATAAAGGCTTCAGATCTTTAGTTGTGAAGATCTAAGCCCCAATGGTTGCTCATTCTGAGAACTGAAAACTGAGAATAATGTTTTGATTTTATTTTTTATATGACAGTGCTTACTATTTGAACAACGTGGAAATGTGTGAACTTGCTGAGGGAAGCTGTTTCTCTCTGTTACCACAGACATCTTCCTATCCTGGGAATGGGAATGTTTGTCCTGGGATCTGTTCTTCTTCTGCTCAATCTTACAGTTCAGCACGCAAAGAAAGTGGATCCTTTGTTCTACGGTACAGACACAGTGTTTTATGCTAAAGCTAAAAGAAAAGTCGGAGCTGATACTTCATTGTTTTTCTCTGCTTTTCGTAGTATTTGCAGAGTTTACCATTGGCAGCATGGTGGGATTGACCAATGCTTTAGAGCAGGATAAGATCATCTCTGGCTTTATGGATTTCTACCTACAAATGGTGAGGCGGCTGTGCTCAGATTCTTTTTCTAATATCTAAACTGGTAATTCTCCCAGAAAACAACAAGGTGAGGTATTTTGTCTCTCTAGGGGGAGCCTCATCTTGCCACAGCCTATGCTGTGATGATGTCTTATTGGGAGGTTGTGCACCTCATCCTCCTCCTCACAGTCATTCATCGGATGTTTGCAGGGTGAGTTGCTGCAACAGAACCACCACAAATGTTCCAGTGTGTGTTGACAGATCTATGATGGACACTTTGCTTTTATTTTGTAATTTACAGGAAGTCCTACCGAAGCATCGGTTTGTTATGGGCTGGATCCACCATTGCCAATCAAATTGTTGTTGTTCCCGGAGTTTTCATCGGTAAGAAATGCTTAAGATTGAACCCTCTCATTGGTCCAGATCTCTCTGCAGGCAGTTTTTCAGTGTTTCAATCTGTGCAGGTAAGTATGGGTCTAACATTCGGCCAGCTTTTTGGAGGAATGTCCCGTTCTTCTTGGTGCCTTTCTGGGCAGCGTCACAGCTCTTTAGCAGACCAAGGGACATGCCCATTTTGACAGCAGACAAGGTAAATTCATCTCTGAGCTCTAAATATATTACGTTTTTTTAGTTAATTGTTTACAGGGACATTATTCGATTTTTACAGGTATGCTATGACCAGAAACTTCTTTAATTGATGGTGTCTGTTGTTGATTAGATTACTGCAGAGCAGAAGAAAAGTCTGCTTTCTCGACCTGCCGACCTGCTCCTGACACTCCTCTTACTGGGAGCCATGGCCCTCTTTGTTTTCAGAGGATTTGTAAGTAAAGCAGCAGAGGCCCGAACTCTTTCTGCTAATTTCAGTCTAACAAGCATGTGTCACCACCTGTTTTAATACTTGTCTGTCATGCTGCTTTGCTCCAGGTGGTGTTGGACTGTCCTTTGGATGCCTGTTTTTCCTACATTTATCAGTATGAGCCCTACCTCAAAGACCCAGTTGGTTTTCCCAGGGTTATGGTCAGTCTAGAGACTAAGTTATTCACAGACTGTGATCAGACTCATACACCAAGCTCAAAAACTATATCTGATCTCATTTATTATAGATGCTGGTGTATTTTTTCTACGCTGTGCCACTGGTGAGCATTCTTCTCTATGGTCTAAACACACCAGGATGCTGCTGGATGTTGGACTGGACCATTTTCTTTGCTGGAGCCATGGCTCAGGTATGTGCATCGCAAAGCTATTTATTGAGACTTTAGGTGATCAACCAAAAGGAAATCGCTCACAGTTTTAAAAATGAAATCAAATCCATACATTACATCCAAAAAATCAGGGAACACTGTAAATATAGAAGGTTTTCTGGTCAGATGACACCAACATTGAACCTTTTGGCCTTCGTGCAAAATTACATATTTGGTAGAAAAATAATGATCTATACAATTCTCACTGGTACAAACCTCTTGGCTGCATCTTAATTCTTCATTCTGTTGGAACTGCCCAGTTAAAGTCCAGATTTTAAGCCAACTTAGAATCTGTGGAAACCACAGAACTATGTTGTTCTTATAATATCTGCAAGTGCTCTTTGTGAGCTTGGACTATTTTGGAAAGAACAAAGCAAAGAAAATATGCCACATTGGCAAAGATCCCAAAAAGACTCGGATTGTTGCAAAAGGTGGTTCTAGAAATTAGTCTCTATGAGAGGCTGAATACAGCTGATTGTACGGAAAAACCATGTATTATTTTATTACCATCTCACCATTAGGCTCCAATTTAAGTTTTTCCATGTCAGCAAATACTAATGAAGAATTTAGAACTCTGTTGCTTTAATGAGTAAAAAATATTCTAAATGAATTGTTTTAAGAGGTGCTGTAACCATGCGTCTGTATTTCTTGTTGTCACTGATGACCTCTCCCTCCTTCACTGCTTCTATACCCAGACTCAATGGTGCCATATCGGAGCATCTCTGCACTCCCGCACTCCCTTCACGTACCGAGCCCCGGCAGACAAAAGATGGCTGGTTATCGCTCTCAATGTGCTGCTTGCCATTGTGCCAGGGCTACTGGCCCTCCGCTGCCGCGCCAACCCAGCTTATTTCATGAAACCTGTTACCAAGGGACAGAGCAACGACGACAAGAAGAAAAACTAGGACCACACACCTGGCCACTGAATACAGGAGGAATACTTTATGCTTTGAAAAGGCAAATGCTTTCAGGGGTGTGAACAAACTGAAAAACAGCCTCCTCCCCCCTATCTTAAATCCCAAAGGAGATCCAGAAACTTTACTCTCTGGGTCTTTTTTCAAATCGGCCACCTCACATGGCACTCCCTGTGTGGACTGTTGGACCCTGATAAGAACTGCTGCTGATGGAGGTGAGGGACTGTGATCAGATCGCTCAGCTTTCAGCTGACTCAAGCAGATAACCCAGTCCCAAAATTTAGATTACAAACCCAGATCACACAGTTTACACACACATATATGTGTAACCAAACCAAAACTCCACAGATTTATTTATTTTAACTTTTTTTTACTGGGATAAAAATGTGACTAATGGCGAAAAGTGAAATGACCAGGCAGGGATCATTATAGTAAAATAACTTCTAAAGATTCATTGAATATTTAGATTTTTTTTTTAAATGTAAACATATATGACATTTATTAGTGTTCCATCAAATACCAGGATGTTTCCTCATTTTCTTGTCCAGATAGTCCAAAGAAAGGATCTTACTGCAGTTTGCTGAGTAACATGAACAGTTCAATGACAGATGTACCATTTACTGCAGTACCTGTGGGTGTATCTTAGGATTCAGTTTTTTTTGTTTGTTTGTTTAGTTTGTACAATAAAGAAAAAGTAACACTGAGTTGTGAGTTTTTTTCTGATGAGCTTTCAAATATATTTTGAAATCTAGCTGGGTACTGGCTGCACTTGGACTAGATTGTTATCTGTATGCTGCCTGTGTGGTCTTATCTTGTGTGTCTGCTTCTGGAAAAATGGTTTTAGAAACAGAAAATAAGTTTGGTTTTTAACAGATTCAACATTGCTGTCTCTTCAATATTGTCCCTGGCAGGGATGGTATTCAGCAGAGTGTAGAGTGCAACTCTGCAGTTATCAGCCTGATAAGAGGTGAACCCTGGATGTAGGTGAGCTGTCACATGCAGACGTCACACAAACACAAATCCCCCTGGTTAGTTGTCAAAATGTTTCATTCAATAAGAAACGAAAACCATAACTTAGATATGTGAGATTCAAAGCAAATGATTTAATCAATCAAATATGTGTTAAGGAAAGAGTTATTCATGATTTCTTCAAATATTTCATTTTTATAAAAGTAAAACATTGGGGCCTGTTTGCCATTTGAATCAAATGTATATATTTTAGATTAGAAACGGTTTGGTTGCAATTTATTTTAAGTTTTGGGAGCCAAGCATTCTCTGTTTTTATCTATAACCGGGTCAAAGTTCATGGCTTCACTGCAGGCAGGATTTTACCTACATTCAACATTAATGGTGTCAAGGTAAAGTTCTTTGTAAAGCTGAAAAGATGGGTTGTTTTTTACTTTCAAAGTAGTTTCATGGTAAAAAATTTACGTCTTTAATGAAAAAATAATTTATTAATAAGAGCAAGGCATAAAAGGTTTCGAAATATATGGTTGTGCAGTAGTATTGCATTGAGAATTGTATATATATGATTTTCCTTGAATGTTTAGGGTGCAAAGAAGGATCCAGTAGAGGTGATAATCTGTAAGACCACATAAGAAAATTGATAGTGATCTCTCAATTTTTCTGTCCTTTCTTTATATAGTTATATATTACATTTTCTCTTTTAGTTTTGTCTAATTTTCCCCCATTTTGTTTGATTTCACCCATAATTTCCCTGTTTTGATCTGTGGATGGATTGAGGGTCAGTTAAATGACAGTGACCTTGATAATTAAGGGGGTGGGTGTAATTATATTTTGCTTGATATGACATTTAAAATAGAGGCTATTTATTATGTTTTCTATTTCACCCACAGAGTGCCTTTTCTTCAATGCGATCTCTCAGGAGGAGATACTGCTCATGATATCATTATGAAGAGAGAATATTTACTAGGTTGTTAAATTATTTAAAATCCAAGTATTTGAAAACTAGCTGTTTTCCCTCTGTCACCATGTCACCAAACATGTTGAAAGAGCGAAGGTAGCAGCCAAGTGCCACAAATGAAAGCGATAGTTCCCAAATATGGTCCTCAGAGACCCTTGCGTTGCATGTTTTAGATGCGTCTCTGTTTCAGCACAATCCAAAAGATTGATGACGTCTTCTGCAGCAATTAAGTGGTGAAGAAACCAGTTTATGACTCTAAAAAAAGTTGAACTGTGTTTTCAAGTTTGAAGAAGTCCACAGTCCAGTAGGTTGTTTTAAAAAAAAAAAAAACTTTTTTTGAATGACTATGACCTGGATAATCACCAGCACAATTTATTGCTCATTCATAAATGTCAGGAGTGTGGCAGCAAGGAGCTAAGGGAAATCAAGTAGTACAGTGGTTCCCAAGGAGCAGGGTTTAGATTTAAAGTATTTAATTAAATGACCAAAATAATTCATGTTTATAGTTGTATTGAGCTTGGAGCAGAAAGACACCTGAAGCGACTCAATGACTCAACATCTCAGGACCTCCTCCTGTGTAGGAAAAATGGAAACAAAGCCAGGAGTTACATCTCAGACTGAAGAGGCTTCAGTTAGCATGTTATTGTTTAGGACTAAAAATGCTGGGAAAAAAATTAACCAATGTGTTTTTTTTTATTTAAAAAAACAATATTGTTTAATTTTGCAATGTTTTGTTTGATTGAACAAAACTATTGACGCAGTCTCTTTTTGACAGATGGAACCAAAGTAGATATTTGGCCTTTAAAAGGTATGATGATTTGATACTTGGGCTTGTTTAGCAAAAAATTTACTCAGACATTTTAAAGAAAAACAGTCAGCTATAAACACCTGTTTACCAAGCACCTGTATACCAAAGTGTTTTGAAGACAAATTTTAAATGTGTTTAACATTTGACAGTACGGTAAAAATGAATCATGCAATGATTAATTATCTCAATAACAGCTGATATGTAAAAGAACATAACTCAAAAGATGATTGTATAGATTTTTCAAGGGATTACAATCATTTTCCAGACCACTGTTTGATTTCTAACCCTGGACACCCTGAGAAAACATTCCCTTTGTATTTGACAAGTTAAGCAAAAAGTAAAAATATGGTCATTTAAGATTTACAGTGGATGATTATTTTGTCAGATTGGAACTTTTTCCCTAAACCATTAGATCCTCTTAGGATCCTCACTGCGAGGGCAGACAAAAGGAGAAATGGTGGTGGAACATTTTCAGCAATCAGAGACGGTAAAATCTACTTGATATTTATTGCCTTTGACTCTTTTTACAGCAGTCAAACAAGAAACTCTGTTTATACCAAGACTTTCCCCTTTCCTTAATTTCAATAATTTCTGCGACTTATCCAGAGCATTTCTGACTGATCGATAAACATGTTTTTACAATTATGGGTAAAATATAAGGAGAAAAAAACTAATTATTTTTTATAAAGTAACAGAGGTCAACATGACCAATATTTACAGTATATACCTGACAACTTTACATTGTGCTTATTTGGCATATATCATTAATAATTTGATAGTTTAGTTTCAGTGTTTCCCTAAAATTATGTTTGGCTTATATTTGTGCCTATTGCTCTTTTCATGTTGTAAGTATCAGCCTAATTGTATGTCCAGACTGCTGTTGGACAGTTTGGTCTCTATCAGGACCAAAAGTTATCTAATATATTGTCCGTTTGACGAAATAAATACTGTTATGCACAGAGTTCCCTTTCAGCTGGCTTGAAAAACAGGACAATACAGGCCAGAAGACCATGGAGTTCCATGAGAGTCAGTGAACAGATTTTGATACGCACAATAAGGTATTCAGTCCTTTGTTCAGAGGTGGTTCTGAAAATTTAAATTTGTATTTCTCTATTTTCATTAAAACTTGATTTTTTTTTTTTTTATCATTCTGTTAGCATTTTAGGCATGGATTTGCCTTTAATTTCCTTGATTTTGTGTTTTACTGTAACTTAATCAAAACATGCTTATATGTACAGTGTGGTTAAAAATAAATGTACAATCCCTGATTACATGAATTATTAGCCCTCAGGGTTTTTTATTTTAATCCTGCTAAAGTGTAATTATTAGCAATTGGTGCTAAATTAAACTTAACATGGGGAATCAACTTGTTTCATTAAATGTAAGATGGATGGAGATGTAAAAAGGGCTACAGGTGGGACCCACTAGTGCCTTTTAGGAAGGTCTTCTTCTTCTATTCCCCACCATGTGTTTCTCTGCACAATCTCCCATACATGTATTGGTCTCCTTTAGTATTGTTGTGGCTCTAAAGACAAAAGTGTTGGCTTTATGTGACTCATGCCTAATATGAGTTGTTTTATTTACTTTTTCATTTTCAGAGGAGAGATTAAACAATGCTCTATGAAATGTTTAGCACTTTTCACCAGTTCTACTCTCCAACTCCAAGGTAGCCTCGACCTTGTGTTGCTTGATCTTCATGATATTGTTTGTTAATCGTCTCCTGAGACCTTTGCAAAACAACTGTGTCTATTTACTGTGTCTATTTACTTCACAGTTATAGATGGTTAATGTTGTTTTACAGATGAAATGTGAACTAAGTATACTGAGGTTTGTGAGTACAAGTTGAGGAAATGTGAAAAAGTTTAAAGGGTGGGGTGTCAAACTCGTATATGCTGTTGGCCAAGATAAAAAAAAGTATGAAGTTTGTCTTTTCATTTTATTCACTTTATTAAGAATGAAATACAACAGCAAGACAAAAAGTCATAGGAACACCAAAAAAGTAGATGACTGATCAAATATCAAAGGGAGAAAACAGTGACATCCTACCCATCAGGTAAATACAGCTGTGCAAGGATTCAAGTTTTTGAACAAATCTGATACAATCAAGTTTTTATCTGAAGCTTTTTCCGGCTCTCTTCCACACAATCCACTGTAAGCCTATGGGCCAAATCCATTTCATTGTTCTGAGTGGGTTGCTTTGGACAAAGTCCAGCAATTGATCAGGTTATAACACAGAACATATTTACAAACCAAAGATTAGAGGAAATCAAAGGATTTGTTACTAACTGGTATAGAAAGAAAATGGTGTTACATCGACTTCCTGGAGTGTAAGTACAAAAGAAATAGCTTTCACTAGCAGATCATCCGTAATAAATAGTAACATTACACAAAAAGCAGTTATTAGAAAAAGCCTCTCAGTGCGAAAAAACAAACAAGAACAGAGCACCTATTAAAGAGCTTTAATGAAAAAAGCAACAGCTAACAGCAAACACACAAAACAGCTCAGGGTTACGAAGGAACGCACGCTAGCTTGCATCGCAGCCGTCTGTGTGAACAGAACACTGGTACAATTAATTTCAACGCAGAAGAAAAGGAAATCCAATTAGAAAAAAGAAATTTCTCTAAGTTTCCATCTGACATGCATACACTCACACATATTTACACCGTGATGTCACTCTGACAGATAAGGAGAGGATTATTGTTATTTAGGCAAAGAAGGTTGCAGCCCAGTTAAAAGAAGCATCAAAACAACCAAACGCGGAGAAAGGACATTGGAGGTTAGCTTGATGTTAGAGATATCCTTATCAAAAGTAGTAAAAGCTAAGCTGACAGCAAGGGAGGAAGCAGGTATATGGGATCTACACTCTGTCTGTATGAGCCATGGCTTGCACCTAGGCA